TATCTCATTACTATAAACCGATTTTCATATATTGAATAGACTTGGTTATAATAAGTCTAATAAATAATTTATATGACGCCACGCTGTCTTAATCACAAGAAAATGCCATTTTAAAATTTGTATTCAGGTGATGCAATACTTTTGAGCGCCACTGTATTTCCGCCGGTTCCTTAACAAAAACTGTGTGAGTTTGGTTTTATTGATCAAATAAAACATTACTAAAAATACCTGTTGATCCTGAGTGAGTAACGCCAGCGCCATTTTCACGAGCTTCACGTTCACGAGCCTTGGATTTAATAAAGTCTAAGTGTAGATAAAAATTACAGTACCAAATAATTCCCATTTATTGAGGCAGTGTAAAGCTTCTAACTAAACTGAAATAATTATGATTACCTAAAACGTCTTCGTCTTCTTCGAAGGGACACCCGTCAGAAATCCACTTTTCTAACGCAGTTCTATTGACGAGTTTTTTGTTCTCCTGCTCCAACTCGAATACTACTTTATCAAACATCATTTTATCGGTTTTTTCCAGTTTGTCCATTTTATCAAAAAGTTAATTAATCAGTGTCATCATAGTCATCATATCAGTCGTAGTTTTGGTTTTTAGCTGTGTGTAACAGTTTCCTATCAGCCGATATGTATGAATCATTATATCAAGTCTCGACTGTATAAATCGTTATTAAAATTGGGACGTCCAAAACTACAACGGTTCCAGGCAGTAATCAGATAAATATAGAAACTTTATGTATCACGGGCATAGTCCCGAACCTTTGTATTTATTTTTGCATGTATTAATAAAAAATTTAATTTCGCTGACCTCGGGTCAGGAAAATCGGATATCTTACAAAATATAGCTAACTTATATGAAAAAGCTTGTGATGCAGAAGATGTATCGATATCACCCATGATTTTTGATCGATTATGTCATAAAATTTATCTTATAAAGGGTCATCTGTGAACGTTTTTTTTTTAATCATTTCTTTCAACAATCTATAAAAAATACGTGTTTCTTAATAATTTCTTTCAGTAATCTATAAAA